GGTGGGGCTGGGTGGGAGGGTGGGGCTGGGTGGGGTGGGCTGGGTGGGGAGGGAGGGGCTGGGTGGGGAGGGTGGGGCTGGGTGGGGGGAGGGGTGGGGAGGGAGGGGCTGGGTGGGAGGGTGGGGCTGGGTGGGGAGGGAGGGGCTGGGTGGGGAGGGTGGGGCTGGGTGGGGAGGGAGGGGCTGGGTAGGGAGGGTGGGCTGGGTGGGGGGTGGGGATGGGTGGGGCTGGGTGGGGGGTGGGGAGGGAGGGGCTGGGTGGGGGGTGGGGAGGGGCTGGGTGGGGCTGAGTGGGGGGGCTGGGTGGGGGGTGGGGAGGGAGGGGCTGGGTGGGGGGTGGGGAGGGGCTGGGTGGGGCTGAGTGGGGGGGGCTGGGTGGGGGGTGGGGAGGGGCTGGTCACCCCGTGGTGCCCTTAGTAACCTCAGGTCGAGATAACATTACCTCAGGTGAGGTAACTTTACCTCAAATGAGGTAACTTACCTCAAATGAGGTACTTTACCTCAAATGAGGTAACTTTACCTCATGCGAGGTAACTTTATCTTAGGCGAAGTAAAATTACTTCAGGTGAGGAAACTTCACCTCAGGTAGAGGCAACATTACCCCAGGTTAGTTAACTTTACCTCAGGCGAGGTAACTTGACCTTAAGTGAGGTAACTTTACCTCACATAGAGGTAACATTACCTCAGGTAAATGTAACATTACTTGAGGTAATCCGAACGTATTCACATCACTTCAGCTAATGCCCATATCGTAATATTCTCACGTAGTTAAATCATTAAACACAATTATCGCGCGATTATTACCTCAGGGTTACATAATCGGAATTCAATGGAAGGCGAGGTAACTTTACCTCACGTGAGGTAACTTTACCTCAAGCGATGTAATATAACGTTAGGTCGAGGTAACATTACCTCAGGCAAAGGTAAAATTACGTCAGGTAAGGTAACATTATCTCAAATGAGGTAACTTTACCTTATGCGAGGTAAAATTACCTCAGGTAAATGTAACATTACTTGAGGTAATCCGAACGTATTCACATCACTTGAGCTAATGCTCATATCTTTACGCTAATATCGTTAAATCGTTAAACACAACGCTCGCGTGACGTCACCACCTCAGTGTCGAGCCGTCGACACTTCACGCGGCAGCCTCGAAGTGCACCCAGCCTGGCACAGGCGCCGTGGTGACGTCACCGTCACTCAGTGGCCAATGGCGGCGGTTGGTGGTGGTGGGGGGGAGTGGGGGGGGGGGTGGGGGGTGGGGGGAGGAGGGGGCGGAATGGCGGTTGGTGAGTGGCGGGAGGGGGGAATGGAGGGTGGGAGGGGTGGGGGGGTAACGGGGGAGTGGAGGGGGCTAGACGCGTGACGTCACCACGCAGTGACGTCATCAGAGTTTTTAAAGTTTAAATTTTTATTCTGGAGGAATCCGATGAGCTGTGAAGCTCTTTATTGTCCACAGGTGTCCAGTCGGGGCACGTGGTCAGAACGCCACAACAACAAACACAACACAATAAACACCGTAGCAGTGCAGAATAGAGGAATGGTAGGCACATGACCAAAACACATCTGTAGGGGCGTGTGAATTGAAGTCTGTAGGACAGTGTGATGTGTAATTTTGTTGGGTCATAGTTTTACCATCCTTGAGGTGCAGGGATGACGACTGGGATTGGTGTTGTTAGGATTAGCAGTGAGCAGCTGTGACCAGGTGCTGCTGTGTGTAACGACTACAGATAACGCCAGGGGGGGGGGGGGGGGAGTTTAAGAGCCGGGAGCCGACAGCTTGGGGCTCGCAGTGGCTACAGCGACTATTGGAACGGTCGATGCGGCCTCTGCGTTAAACAGCAGAAGACAACGGCACAGTCTGGTTCTCCTACAACGCCGCGTGTTAGTTTGAACAACGCCGATTGGATGATAAAACGCCATGAATGATGTGTAGGGGAACACGCTGTTTGTGACGCGGATGCGGATTGGATGCAACGCGAGCGAGCGAACGGAACGAGGTCGCAACGCGAGTAGGAACAAGCGGTTCTCCGTGCGGCTGCCTCGGCGTAGCGGCATCACGCGAGGAGGCATTGGGATGCTGCTGGATGCTGCTTCTAGACGCTACCCACGCGCCTCAGTCGTAGTCCGGCCTCTGTCTCACCCATCATCTCGCGTGTTGTCGCGGACCACGCTTCACCCCCTATAGTTTATATTATTTCTCCACAACGCGGTGTTCTTCAGGAACGCAACAATGACCACCACATCTTCTTGGTTCTTTCGGTAAAGTCACGTAGAATGGAAATAATAAAATAAATAAAATAAAACATGATAAAGAAAATGTTTATTTTTATTATTTTATTATTAAATAAAAATAATAATTATAAAACAATGACTTTATTGTTTAAATTTTATTATTTTATTATTTCCATAAAAATAAAAAATAATAAAGTAAATGTTTATTTTTATTATTCTATTATTAAATAATAAAATAATAAAAATAAAACAATTACTTTCTTGTTTTATTTTTATTATTTTTATTATTTCCATAAAAATATAACATAATAAAGTAAATGTTTATTTTTATAATTTTATTATTAAATAATAAAACAATACAAATAAAACAATTACTTTATTGTTTTATTTTATTATTATATTATTTCCATTCTACGTGACTTTACCGAAAGAACCAAGAAGATGAATCCCTGCAGTCACGAAAGAAGATTTAAATCGAAATGACCACCGCGTTACAGGAGAACAACAGATCGTGAACGCGCTTCGACGATTCGTGGCAACGGCAACACAAAGCGCCACGCGCAGTCTCTTGCGACCAGCGGTGTCTGTGATGAAGGTTTTTGTTGTCGTCGCTGCTGCTGCTCCTGGGTTAGATGGCGTTGGATCACAATCCTGGCACATCGCCCGATGAAACCGGTCGCCGTTGTTTGTAATCACCGGCGAAACGTCACCGGCACTCGAATTGTAAATGCTGTTGTGGGTTCACTCTCCCCGACACACAAGCGCTGTGTGTGCTGAAGTTGGTAACCAATTGGCACGTTTCGTTTACGTGACAAACCCTGACTGATTGGCCGTGTCAGGCGATGGTGGTGGGTGGTGGTGGGTTAACGACACAATGTTGATATTTACGAGATCTCTAACCCAACAACAACAACAACAAAAACCAAACCTCTGTCACGGAAAAGTGTTACCGCAGAGCAAGTCGCTCCGACCTCCTGGAGATACCGGTGAAACAGGCTAAAAATTAACCCGTAAAAACAAAGTTTTTCACTATAAATCCTTTATATGCGTGGCGGCTAGAGTCCTCTCGTCCTCTGGCTTGAGATGGCTGCCACCTATGGCTCAGATGGTTGCCTGCCACCATTAAGCAATTGGTAATTAAATACAATTTTTTTTTTCCTAAAAAGTGTAAAATTTTGGTAAAATTTTTTCACGAAAATAAATTGTCACGCACAACGAGTCTGTGTGCAAAATGTCAGCTCGATTGGATCACGGGAAGTCGGTTAAAAAACGACTGAAAGATTTGCACGGTCGTGAGCGCGCAAGCAAGCAAGCAAGTGAACTTAATATAAAGGATTTAAAAATAACCCCTGCCCCGATTAAACCCGGATATAGTTTGGCCCAGGCCAGAGTAGACCCGGGGGATAAAGTGTCCTAGGCTAAACTATACCCGGGGGTTTAAACTAGACTGGTCCAGACCATACCCCCCCTCCAGGGCAGAACATGCCCCATGTGAAAGTTCAAAGGCAATTATCCATACAGAGAACAGCCGACAACGGACTTCAATCGATATCTAAAAAGCGTATAAATGGAAGTAAGAATCTCAATTTGATCAATTGAAGCATTTTTAGGGTTATTATCAGTTTTTCTGGTTGAAGTAATCAAAGTCTATGTGTTTACAGTTTTAAATAAAATGTTGGAAAAAATTTAGTAATTCATGTGTATATCACAAATACCAGCTATTAAAGCAAATCCTGGAAGGAAAAATCGAAGGGAAAAAACGACCAGGACGGCCAAAAACGACATGGCTCAGTAACATCAAAACATGGCTACAATTAACAACAGCACAAACTCTACACGCCGTGCTAGACCGGGACCAATATCATCGTGAAGTCGCACACGCCGTTAGGCAGCACTAAACAAGAAGATATCGCTCAACACTATTACTATCATGGGGGTATGATTTGGCCTAGAGGGGTATAATTTGGCCTCGGCCATGATACACCCGGGTACAATGTAGCCTAGGCCGCTTGAACCCCGGGTAGACTACGGCCTGTTGCACCGGCACGGGCTGTGTGAGCTGGGCCGCCTTCACAACCAACGAGACGCCGCCGCTGCCAATTGGGACCAAGACGGCAGCGCTGCCTCCACCGGTCCGGTGAGGTCATTCTCAACAGGAGATTTTTGTTTTTCGATTTGAAGCTTTCGTGACTGCAGGGATTCATATTGTTGGTTCTTTCGGTAGAGTCACGTAGAAGGGAAGTAATAAAATAATAAAAATAAAAGATAATGAAACAAAATATAATAAAATATTTTATTATATTAAATTATTGTTTTATTTTTATTATTTTATTACTTGCCTTATAAGTGACTTATATAATAATATGTTATATTATTATATTATTTTATTATATCATATTATTTTATTATGTTTTATTCTTATTATTTTATTACTTCCCTTCTACGTGCCTTTACCGAAAGAACCAAGAAGAGATTTTTTTTTCGATTTGAAGATTTCGTGACTACAGGGATTCATATTCTTGGTTCTTTCGGTAAAGTCACGTAGAAGGAAAATAATAAAATGATAAAAATAAAACTATACAATTCTCACGACGTTTCGATTGCAACGCAAGCAATCATCATCAGGTGTGAAAACCACAGCAATATTGTTTTTGTTGTTGTGGGTTTTCATAAACTGATGATTGCTTGTGTTGCAATCGAAACGTCGTGTTAATTTGATTCTTACATTTTTATTATTTTATTATTTCCCTTCTACGTGACTTACCAAAAGAACCAAGAATACAGTAGATTTTTATTAATCATTTTACTTTTCCAGGTAAGGCCCCCACTGAGCTGTGTAGTAGCGACCTGGCTATCACAAATGACAGCAGCGCACCGAAGTGGCTTATCACGTGACATTTACAGCAGCCAAATACTCTGAACACATGTGGAGATGTTAACTACCTCTCCTGGTATACAGGAGATCGTGTGTTTGATTCCGACCCTGACGCCTGCTGTATATTTTGAGTTTGCGCGTCTCTCTCTCTCTCTCCCCGTGGTCGTGTGGATTTTCTCCAGGTCCTCCGGTTTTCCCTCGACATTTAGAATCGAGATCACGCAATCAGAGTATTTGGCCGCTATAAATGTCCACACAATGATAAGCCACTTCGTTGAGCTTTCATTTGTGATGGCCAGGTGGTCGCGTCTGATAAAAGAGCTACTACGTATCCAGTTGGACCTTACTTGGTAGAATCCCAAGATAATGTTTGTTAGTTTATGTATATATATCATTTTAAACAGAATCACAAACTAACGCTCAACTTTCTTAAACGTGCAAGAGTCAACGCGCGCCACCACCGTGCGACATCACGCGAGCAACCGGGACGCAGAAAATCTCTCAACCCTTTCCCGCGTCCGAGACGTCTGCAGAGTTGCAGGGTCGGTGGGTGTCACCGTTCACGGGGTGGGTGTCACCGTTCACAGGGTGGGTGTCACAAGGGTGGCACAGTCGGGTTTTTTACAATCGGGTTTAATTGTCTTTTTATATTAAACCCGATCATCTAAGATTGAGAGAAATCCGGTTTCATTGGTTCTAATTGCAGAACCGCACTTCTCAACGATGGGCTTCATCCATTCCAAGCTAAGGAACTCACTGGCGCCCACGATTGTGGAGAAGCTCGTGTTCATTAAGACCAACCTGCCCGCCGCATTCTACGACTACCCCGTGCCCGACGGCCCCGAGTACCATAGCAGCACCGACGAGGAAGCAGCCTAAGCCTATCAGAGTTTCGTATTCATTAAACCAGGTTTTAATTCCCCGAAATCGGGTTTAATTGTGTTAAAGAAAAAACCCGATGCCTGCAGCTGGAAAAATCGGGTTTTTTCCACCCATGGGGTGTCACCGTTCACGGGGTGGGTGTCACCGTTCACGGGGTGGGTGTCACCGTTCACGGGGTGGGGGTCAGGTCACGGGGTGGCTGTCACCGTTCACCGCAGCAGTGGCAGCAGCAGCAGCAGCACTGCTGTTGTTGTTATAAAGACGTCGTTGCTCACCGCAGAGAAGCGTAGCGACACGACCGCCGCCACTCTGCGCTAGCCGGCGCGAAAACTGTGCCACACTCCCTGCCCCGCGTGGCCCTGTGGGAGCCTCGGTACCGATAATGTTGCTTTAGTTTTTACTGCGTTTTGTTATTCCGACGACGACGTTCACGCACGGCGCGCGGCGTCGTCGCGACGGCAAAGGGTTAAGTTCACGCTGGGAACATTTTCAACGGGGGAGGCAGCAACAACACGCAGGGTGATCCAAGTGCAGATGCCCCAATCATACCTACACCCCCCTCCCCCAACGCCCTCTCGGAATATTTTTTCAGACCGCAGGAATCCGATGAGCTATGAAGCTCTTCTTCGCAGATCTCCAGCCGTTCCACAGATGTCCTCTCCTAACACCCCCCCCCACCTCCTCCCCGTAGCTTTCCTCTCAGCGGCAAAGTGAATATCGCGCAAGCGATGGCTCAGGGCTACGGGACTGAGTGCACGGAGATTTGTGAGCGGATGCCACCTTCGTCATCGGCCGCGGTTCAGTCTACCGCTGGATGGGTACGTACTGTACGTACTGTACGTACGTCGCACGGGGCAGGGCTACGAGACGGCACGCGGTGCGCATGGAGACCGGCGGGAGACGTGCAGACTGGGGTATCTGTAGGTGGATCGCCCTGCGGTGTCCCCCTCTAGGGTAACAACAGTGCAGCTCTGCACGGGGGACTCTGCACACTCACACACACAGGGACCCCCAGGTGATGGGGGTGGGGGGGGACACGTGCAGTGGTTGGGACCTAGAACTCCGCACTTGCAATCGAGGGGTGGCCAGGTCGGTTTAATCTCCCACCCCCCACAGAGTGTGAGGCAGGTGTAGGAGGGTCCGTAGGTTTCCGTGTTCACATTCAAAATCAGTTTCAAGAGTGGCACAGCCTCGGCTAGTCACGTGGCCTGTTGTTTAAAACTAATTCACAGCTCGGCGCTGTGCGCGTTTTGCTCAGGATGGCTGACTTTTCTGTTTCCACGGGAATGAGAAAATGCATTCTGGCCGGTGTGTGTTCTCTGGTGCCGGCAAAGACTGGATGGGTCTGCAAACACCTTCTCACACACGGTGCACTTGAACGGCTTTTCTCCCGTGTGTGTTCTCTGGTGCCTGTGAAGATCTGATAGCTGTGCAAACGCCTTCTCACACACAGTGCACTTGAACGGCTTCTCTCCCGTGTGTGTTCTCTGGTGGCTGTGAAGATGTTGTAAATGTGCAAATGCCTTCTCACACACGGTGCACTTGAACGGCTTCTCTCCCGTGTGTGTTCTCTGGTGGCTGTGAAGATGTTGTAAATGTGCAAATGCCTTCTCACACACGGTGCACTTGAACGGCTTCTCTCCCGTGTGTGTTCTCTGGTGGCTGTGAAGATGTGATAGCCGTGCAAACGCCTTCTCACACACGGTGCACTTGAACGGCTTCTCTCCCGTGTGTGTTCTCTGGTGCTTCTTCAAGGTACTCTTGTAGTCTGTGCTGTATGGACATTGGTCACACTGATGACTTTTGTTACTGGGCTTAGTGGGGTGTCTGCTCTGCACGTGATACTGTATACTCGAGCGGCAGATGAACTGACGGTTGCAGGCAGGACACGGCAGCCTTGTGACCTCCACACCCACTCCACCTGCGTCATCCCAGAGGAACAAGACACACGCGCACACACCAACATCTAGACATGAACACTCTTGCACACGTGTGTGTATACACAAAGGTAAAGGTTTCCCACAGCCATATCAGACTGTTGGGCAAGTGCTGTTTGCGAGTACCTATGAAGGCCGGCATGGCACACGAGGGAGTAGGTGGCCAACACCAGGCCCGGCCGCCTTTGTCTCTCCAGTGGCGATGTTTCCACGTTTAAGCTAGGTACTCATTTGAGGCTGAGTCAGCCTAGGGGAGGCCTAAATATTCACCACTGACGTTGGCCGTGAGTGGGAATCGAACTCAGGTGGCCGGGTTCGTAGTGCAGTGGGCTCCATTATATATACACACAAAGACAAAGAACCCCCATATAGCCTGTATATACTTTGGGACAAGTGCTGTTATGGGCACCAATGAAAGCCAACACGGCACACGAGTGGGAGGGTGGCCAGCACCACACATAGCCGCCTTTGTCTCCCCAGTGGCGATGTTTACTACTACACACCACACCAGTTACTCACTTCCACCTTATCAGTGTGGCTGGTGCCTATCATCTCTGGTGAGTGGTGGCTGTCATCTCTGGTGAGTGGTGGCTACCAACTCTGGTGAGATGTGGCTATCATCTCTGGTGAGTGGTGGCTATCATCTCTAGTGAGTGGTGGCTATCATCTCTGGTGAGTGGTAGCTACATCCACATCTCTGGTGAGATGTCGCTATCATCTCTGGTGAATGGTAGCTATCATCTCTACTGAGTGGTGGCTATCGTCTCTGGTGAGTAGTGGCTATCGTCTCTCGTAAGTGGTGGCTGCCATCTCTGGTGAGTGGTGGCTATCATTTCTGGTGCGTGGTGGCTATCATCTCTGGTGAGTGGTGGCTATCATCTCTGGTGAGTGGTGGCTATCGTCTCTCGTGAGTGGTGGCTATCATCTCTGGTGAGTGGTGGCTATAGTCTGGTGAGCAGTGGTGAGTCTCTGGTGAGCAGTGCTCACGGTGTTCCTCGCTTGGTGGAGGCTGCACGGGCTGCAGGTCTCTGGCGGTGGCCCTAGGAGCCATCTCGCTGCTGCTGCTGCTGCGGCGTCGCGAGGGCCCGGCCTCGCAGGCGATGCCCAGCTCCTGGGCGAACTCCTCGCCGTACCAGACCAGCAGCTCAGAGCCGGGCCCCACGGCACGGAATGTGCGGTAGTAAATCTGCCCCCGGTGCTGGAAGGCCACCAGGTTCTGCTCCTGCTCATTCCTCGCGCAGTTGACGAACCTGCGCGGGCAGACGCGGGGGCGGGGTGGGCGCCGTTAGCGAGCGCCTATTAAGGGCCGGCACTGGGCGCTACGTGGGGGTGGTGTGGCTGGAACCACGCTCCGTACCGGGTGCTCATTTGATGCCGAGTCGACCAAGGGGAGGCCCAGGGTTGGTCTCTGTGTGTAGTGGGTCTGGTCTCTGTGTGTAGTGGTTCTTGTCTCTGTGTGTGGTGGTTCTGGTCTCTATGTGTAGTGGTTCTGGTCTCTGTGTGTGGTGGTTCTTGTCTCTGTGTGTGGTGTTCTGGTTTCTGTGTGTGGTGGTCTGGTCTCTGTGTGGTGGTGTTCTGGTCTCTGTGTTGTGGTTCTGGTCTCTGTGTGTGCTGGTTCTTGTCTCTGTGTGTAGTGGTTCTGGTCTCTGTGTGTGCTGGTTCTGGTCTCTGTGGTGTAGTGGTTCTGGTCTCTGTGTGTGGTGTTTCTGTCTCTGTGTGTAGTGGTTCTGGTCTGTGTGTGCTGGTTCTTGTCTCTGTGTGTGGTGGTTCTGGTCTCTGTGTGTAGTGGTTCTGGTTTCTGTGTGTAGTTGGTGTTCTGGCTCTGTGTGTAGTGGTTCTGGTCTCTGTGTGAAGTGGTTCTTGTCTCTGTGTGTAGTGGTTCTGGTCTCTGTGTGTAGTGGTTCTGGTCTCTGTGTGTAGTGGTTCTGGTCTCTGTGTGTAGTGGTTCTGGTCTCTGTGTGTGGTGGTTCTGGTCTCTGTGTGTGGTGGTTCTGGTCTCTGTGTGTAGTGGTTCTGGTCTCTGTGTAGTGGTCCTTCAGACAATAATCACCTCATCCAGTTTGATTTAGATTCATCCTGAGCATCAACATATTCACGATCCTTTTTGTTTTTGTAAATCTGAAACACACACGCACACGAGCGGATCCACGGATAATTAATGTCAGTTGGACTGTAAGTTGAACTTCTTTCGTACCGCACGTAGCCAACCATGCTGATCGGAGGTGCGGGGGAAGGACAACAAACTAAACACTAAAAGCAGTTCTAAAGAAATGCATTTTCAATCTACAAGATTTTAAAGTGCATAGCTCCAGTGGCTTCCTAACATTGGAAGGAAGAACCTTCCAGACGGCCGCAGAAGTGCATCTGTAAGCGCCGCGCCATGCGGTGACCACCGTCTTTGCTGTGTGTTACAAGTTCAAATAATTACGTTAATTTTTGGGTCTCTCTGTGATTCTGGGGGTCTTTGGTGAGTCTCTAGGTCTCTGTACGAGTCTCTGGTCTCTGTGCGAGTCTCTAGGGTATCTGTGCGACTCTGGGTCTCTGTGTGAGACTGTGGGTCTCTGTGCGATTCTCTTGGTCTCTGTGCGAGTCTCTGGGTCTCTGTGTGAGACTGTGGATCTCTCTGTGCGATTCTCTGAGCATCTGTGTGAGTATCTGGGTCTCTCTGTGTGAGTCTCTGGGTCTCTGTGTGAGTCTGTGTGTCCCACTGTGAGTCTCTGGGTCTCTGTTCAAGTCTCTAGGTCTCTGTGCAAGTCTGTGGGTCTCTCTATGCGAGTCTCTGGGTCTCTGTGCAAAGTCTCTGGGTCTCTCTGTGCCAGTCTCTGGGTCTCTGTGTGAGTCTGTGGGTGACTGTGTGAGGCTATGGGTCTCTGTGCGAGTCTATGGGTCTCTGTGTGAATCTATGGGTCTCTGTGCGAGTCTATAGGTCTCTGTGCGAGTCTATGGGTCTCTGTGCGAGTCTATGGGTCTCTGTGTGAGTCTATGGGTTTCTGTGCGAGTCTATGGGTCTCTGTGTGAGTCTATGGGTCTCTGTGAGTCTCTGGGTCTCTCTGTGCCAGTCTCTAGATCTCTGTGTAAGTCTGTGGGTGACTGTGTGAGGCTATGGGTTTCTCTGCATCTCCTTCACGAGCCTCCTCTCCACACACACGATGATGATGTAGGAATAGGAGGAGGCTGCAGCAGTAGCAGCAGCAGCTCACCAGCCAGCAGTACTCGCTCACGGGGTTCTCCTCAGACACCTCTCCCTGGTAGGGCCCAAAAATCACCCCCTTGGGCAGCTTCTTCCTGTTGCTCCACACCCCGAGGCCGGCGCCGGCGATGGAGGAGGCGCCGACGGTGAGGCCCTGGGGCAGGCTGAGCCGGGCCCTGTTGGCCACTCCGGGGCCACGGCCGCGTCTGCAATGAACTCTGGCGGGCCGTGCACGGAGCACTCCCCCAGGTAGAAATCCCTGCACAGCTCGCAGACTGAGAGCCACAGCAGCAGCAGCAGGAGGAGGGCGAACCGCAGTAGCAACAGCAGCAGCAGCAGTGGCACTGTGAGAGAGTGAGAGGGTGAGGAGCGCTCCAGACAGATGCCTCCTTTCCTCCCTCTCTGCATTGTGAACTTCTTTAGCTCGCTCATCGGAGATGTAAACCCTGTCACCCTCCCTGCTCCCTCCCTGCATCCCTGAGTGAGGGAGCAAAAGACAGGGAGGTAAGTGAGAGTGCGAGAAAGGGAGCGTGTGAGAGGGAGGGAAAGGGAGAGAGAGTGAGAGGGAGCAGGTGGAATATATCGAGTGAGAGCGCGGGAGCAATAGAGAGAGATAGGAGAGAGTGTGAGAAAGTTAGAGTAAGGGGCCGTCCATAAATGACTTCATGCACCTAGGGGGGTGGGGGGTCAGACATTTGTGACGATGTGTGAGGAACCACAGACAACACGTTCTACTTAATTAAATACTTTTTAATAAATGTTTTCTCCTACAACATCAGACTGCAGTGCCACATTAAATATGCACTACAATGACAATAGTTTGAAGCGATTTTAAGCATATTAAATGAGCTTTGTGACGTCACATTTGAGGGGGGGGTCTGACTTTTGTGATGTCGTGTGATGGGGGGGAGGGGGGTCCAAAATCGCGTGACGCCATTAATGGACGGCCCTAAGAGAGTGTGAGAAAGTGACAGTGTGAGAGAGAGTGTGAGAAAGTGACAGTGTGAGAGAGAGTGTGAGAAAGTGACAGTGTGAGAGAGAGTGTGAGAAAGTGACAGTGTGAGAGAGAGTGTGAGAAAGTGACAGTGTGAGAGAGAGTGTGAGAAAGTGACAGTGTGAGAGAGAGTGTGAGAAAGTGACAGTGTGAGAGAGAGTGTGAGAAAGTGACAGTGAGAGAGAGTGTGAGAAAGTGACAGTGTGAGAGAGAGTGTGAGAAAGTGACAGTGTGAGAGAGAGTGTGAGAAAGTGACAGTGTGAGAGAGAGTGTGAGAAAGTGACAGTGTGAGAGAGAGAGTGAGAAAGTGACAGTGTGAGAGAGAGTGTGAGAAAGTGACAGTGTGAGAGAGAGTGTGAGAAAGTGACAGTGAGAGAGAGAGAGTGAGAAAGTGACGGTGTGAGAGAGAGTGTGAGAAAGTGACAGTGAGAGAGAGAGTGTGAGAAAGTGACAGTGAGAGAGAGAGTGTGAGAAAGTGACAGTGTGAGAGAGAGAGTGAGAAAGTGAGAGAGAGTGAGAGGGAGCAGGGGGTCTCACAGAAGAAGTCGTCGTCCTGGGGCTCCTCCACCTCTGTGTAGACTTTCCTCTCGCGCGGGCGCAGGCCGTAGCGAGAGCGAGCGCTGCGCGACACCGCCACAGCCTGGGCGGAGGCCGGCGGCACGGAGGAGCCTGCAGGCAAACACGGCGAGATGTTGACTACCTCTCGTGGTATACGGGAGGTCGTGGGTTCCATCCCGACCCTGACGAAGCCTGCTGTATATTTGGAGTCTGCGTGTCTCTCTCTCCTCCGTGGCGAGATGTTAACTCCCTCGCATGGTCTACAGGAGGTCGTGGGTTCCATCCCGACTGTATAGTTTACAACATGTTACCCTATTTGTATTTTTGTATTTTAGATTGTATATTATGGCTAGTTTACATTTATATTGTACACTTATTCACAATTTTACATACTTTAGCCCCTTAGTATAGTTAGACTTTGTAATTTTAGTATAGTTTGACTGTATACCACTCATTTCAGTTTTAAGATTCCTACATGTTGAATGTATGCACCTTCCGGCCATAGTAAATTCCTTGTCTGTGCAAACTTTCATGGCGAATACCTCCCCGTGGTTGCGTGGATTTTTCTCCGGGTCCTTCGTTTTTTTCCCTCGACATATAGAACCAACGTCATGCGTTGAGAATATTTGGCTGCTATAAATGTCCACGTAATGACGATGATGACAAGTCACTTCGTTGAGCTCTTATTTGTGATAGCCAGTCGCTTCTGAAAAACAGCTACACAGCTCAGTGGGGCACACCCTGGTTGCTAATCCTGCATAATGCACGGGCATATGTAGTATTAATCACATACCTGCATTTCCCATATCCCCTCCCTTTGATGCTGCTAGTCCTGCATAATGCACGGGCATAAGTAGTACTAATCACATACCTGCATTTCCCATATCCCCTCCCTTTGATGCTGCTAATCCTGCATAATGCACGGGCATGAGTAGTACTAATCACATACCTGCATTTCCCATAAATATGCTAAATGCCTCTTGATATGCATATTCTTTTGTCAAGGCGCTCTTTCCCCCCCTTCCAACCCAGCTTATATATGCTCCAAGCACGTGTGCTGTATCATTCAGACGCTGTCGCCTCGACAGACCTGGTTTTCACCTGAGGACGGCTGCTTGCGTTGTGGCCGAAACGTCGTGAGAATTGTTTTGTTATGTTTTATTTTATTATTTTATTACTTCCCTTCTACGTGACTTTACCGAAAGAACCAATAAGAAAAATAAACATCGTTTAGTTCATAGGCTGCATCAGTACCAGCAGCAGCCCTGACAGGAGCACATGTAGCAGTAGCATCAACAGCAGTGGCGACTTCCATCAGCACTAACAGAAGATTGCGGAGTTCCGGTGAGAATAGAGGGGAGCGTGGAGTTCCGGTGAGAATAGAGGGGAGTGTGGAGTTCCGGTGGGAATAGAGGGGAGTGTGGAGTTCCGGTGGGAATAGAGGGGAGTGTGGAGTTCTGGTGAGAATAGAGGGGAGTGTGGAGTTCTGGTGGGTATAGAGGGGAGTGTAGAATTCCGGTGAGAATAGAGGGGAGTGTGGGGTTCCGGTGAGAATAGAGGGGAGCGTGGAGTTCTGGTGAGAATAGAGGGGAGTGTGGAGTTCCGGTGAGAATAGAGGGGAGTGTGGAGTTGCGGTGGGAATAGAAATCACCGCTGCAGGCTACGCACCTCCACGTATCCTCTGGAGCGCCACCCTCAGGGCCTTTGCAGGCGGTGGCTCTGCGCTCCAGCCTGAACATCGCCATCCTGGCCTTGTGCACCTCCCTCAGCTCAAATCCCCTGAACTCCTCCTCCTGCTGCTCCTCCTCCTCCACGCCCTGCAAGATGCTCCACACGTACTCCAGGGCTTCCGCTTTAGTCTGAGCGGAGGGGGCGGTGGGGTGAGGGGGCGGAGGGGGTGTGGGGGCGGAGTTGGTGCGGTGACCAGCGGTGGCTAGGAGATGTTAACTCCCTCGCCTGGTACGCAGGAGGTCGCGGGTTCCATCTCGACCCTGACACCTCATCGGATTCCTCCAGTACAATACATATTTTAATTCTGATATTCTGAATCTGTAAATCTGATTCCATACATCAAGCAGAACCATGCCGTCATGCTGAACCTCGGTGGGTATGGCAGGCCATGCCTCTTCACAACTCAACTAATTAATAAACTAATTATAATAATGTAGTGGACACCGTGACGACAGAGACAGTTGAAGTAGAGGCAACCCATATTTATTAACTCTGAGCCCGTTACAGCTTCACACTTGAAGAGGTAACGGCCTCTTCACCCGTTCTCTCAAGGGAGCTAACTCCCCAAGCTAACTCACCGACTCCCCACCAATACTACGACCCTCCTCTCAAGGAGACTACCTGACCTGGCCCAGCCAAGGCACAGGTCCCGACCACCAGCCACACGAATCCGGCCCTTACAAGGACATCAGCCTTCGCGCTCTGGGGTCGCACCACTGGCTTGCTCTGCCCGGCCTTTAGAAGGACAGCGGGTCAGAGGAGTCCCAGGGTCTAGCTAGCTGGACTTCAGCTGGTTCTTCGTCCTTGGCTTGTTCGAACTAACTCTCTCCTCTCAGAGTCTCGCCTTTTATACGATTCCCCACTGAGGGGCGGGGTTCTGTGGGATCACACACACCCCACAGCCCCCTCCCCTCGGGAGGGGCCCCGGCTAGGGATATCACAACCGCCCCGCACAGGTAAGTAATGGGAGTTAACCGGAGCTGGTGTGCGCGCGTTCCAATACCACCACCACCACAATAATGACGCACGTCTCTGGTATAATTATATAGAAATTACTTTTATAACACAGACCAGTGGAACATTTTTTTGTACTTTTCGTAACAGCTATTTTCATTGGAGTATATGACAGGTGAGGCTCTGCCTCGCCCGTCTCCCCTGACCGCACGTCCCTGGTATAGCAGTGTCTAGTAGTATGTATGTACGTTGAATGTCTTTGTCACCGTACGTAGCCAACCTCGCTAATGGGAGGTGCGGGGGAAGGACAACAAACTAAAGACAACAGCAGCAGCAGCTGTAACGAGAGGAGTGCCGTGCGCTGTGCACAGAGACCTTGCGCTTGCTGGAAGCTGCCCTCGCGTGAGACTCTCCCACGGTGGCCCAGCGTGAAGCAGCCCCCTTGCCTCCTCCTGCGTGAACACACGCACACACGTGAACACACGCACACACGTGAACACACGCACACACGTGAACACACGCACACACGTGAACACACGTGTGAACACACGGACACGCATGAACATATGCAAGGACAAAGCTCCCCCGTATAGCCTTAACAGACTGTAGGGGCAAGTGCTGTTAGTGAGCACCTATGAAGGCCAGAACGGTACACGAGGGGGTGGGTGGCCAGCACCACGCCCGACCGTCTTTGTCTCCCCAGTGGTGATGTTTACACACCGCACCAGGTACTCAGTTGAGGCTGAGCCGACATAGGGGAGGCACAGGACCGGTTCAAATAATCGTCACTGGTGTTGACCGTGAGCGGGAATCGAACCCGGGTCGCCGGGTTCATAGCGCAGCGCGCTAACCGCTACACTACCGCTCCCCATATGCACACGCGTTAACACACGCACACACGTGTGAACACACGGAAATGCATTAACACACACACACGTGTGAACACACCCACACGCGTATTTACGCATGCAAACATTTACTCACTCACATATTTACCAAAAAGTCAATGATCTCCCCTGTGCCGCCTTAACAGACTGTTGTCACAGGACAGAACCAGGTGCCATGCCATGGGTTGACTGTTGTGCCAGGCTAGGTGCAGGTCACGAGACGGACCCTGCAGGTGCCATAGGTTTACTGAGATGACTGCCAGATGCACCACCTGTGCCCGCGACTGTGCCAACTCGGTCCACAATTAAAAAGATGCCCCGTGTAGCCTTCACAGACTGTTGCGGTCAAGTGCTGTCAGCAAGCAGCATCTACGAAGGCCAGCACGGCACACGGGGGGATGGGCAGCTAGCAACACGCCCGACCGTCTTTGTCTCCCCAGTTGTGATGTTTACTACACACCACTGCACCGGGTACTCATTTTGACGCTGAGTCAACCTAGGGGAGGCTCAGGACCGGTTCGGATCGTCGTCACTGGTGTTGGCCGTGAGCGGGCATTTAACTTGGTTCCGCTGGTGATTACAACCAGCTTCATCAAGCGAGTCTACAGGGGTCTCTGCGTGAGTCTACAGGGGGTCTCTGTGTGAGTCTACAGGGGTCTCTGCGTGAGTCTACAGGGGGTCTCTGTGAGTCTACAGGGGTCTCTGTGTGAGTCTACAGGGGTCTTTGTGTGAGTCTTCAGGGGGTCTCTGTGTGAGTCTACAGGGGGTTTCTGTGTGAGTCTACAGGGGTCTCTGCGTGAGTCTACAGGGGGTCTCTGTGTGAGTCTACAGGGGGTTTCTGTGTGAGTCTACAGGGGGTCTCTGTGTGAGTCTACAGGGGGTCTCTGTGTGAGTCTACAGGGGTCTATGTGAGTCTACAGGGGGTCTCTGTGTGAGTCTACAGGGGTCTCTGCGTGAGTCTACAGGGGGTCTCTGTGTGAGTCTACAGGGGGTCTCTGTGTGAGTCTACAGGGGGTCTCTGCGTGAGTCTACAGGGGATCTCTGCATGAGTCTACAGGGGGTCTCTGCGTAAGTCTACAGGGGTCTCTGTGTGAGTCTACAGGGGTCTCTGCGTGAGTCTACAGGGGTCA